GATACCATCTTCAAACTCCTTTTAACGGATCCATGTGGGGAGTCAGCCATGCAGACGGGTGCCCGGCGTGTAGACCGCACCTGGCGGAGCCCCCTGCGTGAGGGAGCCGTGCGAGCTCTCTCCACGCGGGCGCGTTCAGACAGAACAGCCGCAGCCGCTAGATGCCTTCGTTTACCCAGGGCCGGGTGTCGGTCTTGTTCGCTTCCCCCATTAACGAGCCCCCACGTCTGCCGGGAGCCGGTCCATCCTTGCTGTTTCAAGGGACCTGGCATATATGGCATACTGTTCTTAATATGTTTGCTCACCTTCTTGGCACTATGTGTTTTAACCAAGGTCACCTCTCTGAGAAAGGTTGTTTCCCCAGGTAGGGATTTTCCCCTGAAGTTAGGGAGGGAATAAAACCTCTTAACTAAGTGCCAGGCGGGTAATTCCCTGGAATAAAGATAAGAAACGCCCTAACCTTTGTAATAGAGATTGATAGGATTGAATCAACTGGTATAAATACAGATGCAACAAGACAGCAAGACACAGAACTTAGAATACAGACCAAGAGAGTCAGAACTTAGAATACAGAGCTTAGAACACAGAACTAAGAAGACAGAACCTACACAGAACCTAGAGACAGAAGAACTTCGCTGAGGGAACATGGCAAAAGATCCTGGACTGAACCTGACTACAGAAATTGGCAAGAGAACCTGACTAGAACCTGGTAACTGAACCCGGCTGGAGAACCTGGACAGAACCTGGCTGGAGAACCTAGCGAGGGAACATGGCTACAGAACCTGGCTGGAGAACCTGGAGAACCTAGCAAGAGAACATGGACACAGAACCTGGCTGGAGATCCTAGCCAGAACTTCGCTGGAGATCCAGAGCAGAACCTCTCTGGAGATCCAAACCAGAACTTGGCTGGAGATCCTGGCTGGAGATCCTGGCTAGGCTGCTGATCAACTGAACACTGTCTCCGTGTCATTCCTTCTTCGCCGACTCCGTCTACACCTTTGGGGACCCCTGGACCTGCTGGGGTTGGACCCCGGCACACGTCCTGTGTCACCTGCGTCCCAGGGGAAAACCTCCCTCATGCGCGAGGATGACGGAGCCTCCTCACAGGGACCCAGTTCACGACTGGAGGGAAAGTGAGACCCCAAAGGCCACCTGGGGCACACCCTCTCCCGGGGGGGTGGGGCAGGGTGTCAGGGGACGCCCTGCAGATCTTTCAGACACCCCACGGGGCCGGACATCCTGTTACTTGGCACCAGGTCACAGGGGCCCTGTGGGAACTGGGAGCACTTACAGCCCCCAAATCGCAAGCACAACACGGCCAAGGCCGCTGCCCACCTTTGGGCGAAGTTACTGCACCTTTGCTCCGAGGAAGAGAACAGAACACGCACTCCTCAGCCAAGTGAGGGCATTTCTTTTTTCTATTTAATATTTTTTTTATTGATTTCAGAGAGGAAGGGAGCGGGAGATGGAGAAACATTGATCGGCTGCCTCCTGCACGCCCCACACTGGGGATGGAACCCACAACCCGGGCCTTGCCCCCACCAGGGATCGAACCGTGACCTCCTGGTTGATAGGGCGACGCTCAGCCCCTGAGCCACGGCGGGCGGTTCGGGGCGGCATTCTCGGCATCACCCTGCCTCCTGCTCAGGAGGAGCCCAGTGCAGAGGGAGGCGGCTGGCCGATCAGACACGCCCGCTCCGACCCCGCCTCCTCGCGCACCTGCCTCCAGCGGGCAGGGCTGCCACGCCCACGGCAGGGCTGAGCCAGGAGGAAGCCGCACTGGTGCTCCAGCGGCTGCTCAGCGCTATCACCAGGAAAGGAGGCTGAGGAAAGTGCTCTGCAGTACTTCCCAACCTTTACGACTACACTTCAGCGCAAGTACGTAAGGCCAGCATCTGGCCTGCCCCTCCGGACCCTGCACACATGGCCGATGGGGGACAGGCCGGTCTCTCCCTCCTTCCTGCCTCCTCGGCCCCGGGCCCAGCTCCCTCCAGCGGGGACCGCAGTGCGCCTGCCCCGGTGACCAGGAGAGAGAGAGAAACATCAATGATGAGAGAGAATCTCCTGGGGATCGAGCCCGTGACCCGGGCATGTGCCCCGACCAGGAATCAAACCGTGAGCTCCTGGTTCGTAGGTCGATGCTCAGCCCCTGAGCCCCGCCGGCCACTGAGCCCCACCGGCCACTGAGCCACGCCGGCCGGGCCAGTGAGCGGTGAGTTTTGGAGGGCGAGGACCCACGTGTCCACCACCTCTGGGATCCCAGACACACCACAGCACACAGACATGTCTGCTCAAGGTGGCGGAAGCTGAGCCATGGCTGGTTGGCTCACAGGCATGTCCTGCAGCTCTTACAACACAACCCACAGCAGCTTGGCGACCCGTGGGCGTGGGCAGCGTCGCTCTATGTCTCTTCATCGTACGTGTCTTCAGGTCGGCCTCTGGGTGACCGGTACTTGCCGAGTCCTAAGACAACCCGCAGCCTAACCTCTCGGGCAACGGGGCCCCTCCCCACTGTCACACACCCCCTCCCCCATCTCACACCCCCACCCCCACTCCAGCCGCTCACAGCTGAGCACTGGCATTCCTGGCGCCGTGTTCCAGTCTGACGTCTTCGGAACTCAAGACAAGTTTCCCACAGAAAAGTTAGAGACGAAGCGCTCACACGAGGGTGCTTATGTCTGCCCACAGAAGCGTCCACAGCCCAGCAGGTACCACAGGAGCCGGCCCCTGGCCACCTCTCCGGGCAATGCCTTCCCACTTCCCGGTGGGGGTGCCTGCCCAGGCGTCCTGAAGGAGGAAGCAGGGGGCGGCCTGAAGGCAGGTCTCAGAGGCCAGGGAAAGGGCTGCTGTTCTGCAGGAGTCGTGCTAACACTCATCCGTTTATTCATTCACTCATTCATCCATTCATCCACTCATTCATCCATTCATCCACTCATTCATCCATTCATACACTCATTCCATTCATTCATCCATTCACTCATTCATCCATCCATTCACTCGTTCATCCACTCATTCATCCATCCATTCACTCATTCATCCATTCAGCCACTCATTCATCCATTCATTCACTCATTCATTCTCTCATTCATCCATTCATTCACTCATTCATCCATTTGTTCATTCGTACATCCATTCATTCATTCGATAGACATGCATTGAGAACACAGCCTCCTGGGACCTGCGCCCCACTCAGGAAACAAAAGCAGGTGTGGTCAGGCGGTGGCCACAGAGCCCGCAGAGTGGGAAGGCAGGACACATTACTCAATAACCCTTGATACATTCAGCATTTAAAATCGAGAAGAGTCTCCAAAGGGGGTACAACTCCATGAGAGCGCGTGACGAATAATCCGTCCCAGGTCAGGGCACCAAGACAAGCTCCTGGAAGGGTAAGGTGACCTGGAATCTGCAGGGTCAGAGGAGGGAAGAGGGAGAAGGGAGAAGGAGGGAGGAGGGAGGAGGGAGGAGTAGGGAGGAGGGAGGAGGAGGGAGGAGGAGGGGGAAGGAGGGAGGAAGGAGGGAAGAGAGAGGAGGGAAGATGGGAGGAGGAGACAAGGGGCAGGAAAGAGGGAAGAGGGAGGACAATGAAAGGGAGGAGGGAGGAAGAGGGAAGAGAGTGCTCCAGGCAGAGGGAGTGGGGTGGGCAGCGCCTGAGGCGGGAGGAGACAATATTCCCGGAAGAGGAGAATATTCCCAGAGTTATGTTCTTGGAGAACAAGGTGAAGGGCTGGTTGGAGGGTGCGGGGAGAAAAACAGGCTGTGCCCCTGACTCATTCTTCAGTCCACATGCCTTTGAGGTTGCCAGGCAGGAGCTGCACCCCCACTTGCCAGGAGCCTGGGCTGAGCGAGCCACACCCCATGCTCCCCCTGCCTCAATGCCCAGCCCCCAACCCTCTAGCCACACTCCCATGCTCCCCCGCCTCAATGCCCAGCCCCCCACCCTCTAGCCGCTCCTCCTGCCTCAATGCCCGCCCCCACCCCCAGGGAAGCCCTCCTGCACTCTCCCCTCCATGGGCTGGAGCCGCTGTCACATCCGCTCCGTGTCCTCCAGGAAGGCCGTCCTGAGCGTCTTGCCTGTGGTCCCTCCCGCTGGACACGGTGCCCCGGGCCCCCACCCACCCCCCTTCTGCAGCAGAGCTGACTCCGGCCCTGGAGGCACGCATCCTGCGAGCGGGCACCCAGCATCCAGGCCAAGGAAACTGGCAGGACAGGGAGACGTCGCCCGGGAAAGGTGCCGGGGGACACGGCGGGGAAGGCAGGCCCAGCACAGGGGACGGGGCTGGGCAAACTCAGGACCAGAAGCGAGCGAGCTCCAGTCTCTGGGCGGAGCCACAGAGAGCCCTGCAAGACAGTCCCCTTCCCGCCCCTGACAGCGCCCCAAACGGGCCTCCGGCAGCGGCTCCCCAGGCCTCGTGGTCTCTGGGCACAGGGAGGGCATCTCAGGTAAGAAAGACGAATCACCAATGATTTTCCCATGAGCAATCTGAACACAAACACGCCGCACAGAGGACCCGGGAGGCAGCATGGATCCCAGCGCAATGTCAGAGCAAGAGGGGAGGCACCTCTTCCTCCCTCGTCTGCCTCTCAGGATGCTGCCTGGAACCCAGGCCCCGCATTAAGCCAGGGGTTCTAACCAGAGGCAGCTCTGCGCCCCAAGGGGCCCTGGGAACTATCTGGAAACATTCATGGCCGGCACAGCCTGTGGGAGGAGCTCCTGGCATGTAGTGGGCGGGGCCAGGGCAGCAGCCGCACCTCCCACAGAGCCAGGGAAGCCACATACCAATGAATTACCCGCCTCCCCGCCCCCCAGAGCCAACAGGGAGAGGCTGAGAGCCCAGGCACAGGCACACGGGACGGACGCACACCGATGATCTTATGACAGTTCTTGAGAAAGCCATCACAGTGTAGGGGCATTTTAGTGAGTAAGATTCTATCTGATCCAGCTGTGTTAGCGTGAAACACGTGTGTGTGTGAGTGTGTGAGTGTGCAAAGCGAACACTTACTTGTGCATGTGCTCCATTCCTATTATGGTCATGATGCAGTAGGAAACTCCACTTTGTACGAGGAAATGTAAGGCATACCTACAAAAAGGGAGAGCACGGTTAGGCAGGGACGGCACCACTCACAGACATCAAGTTCAAACAATCTGGGCCTAAAAGTGCTAAGTTTAGCCCGGCTGGCGGGGCTCAGGGGTTGAGCGTCGACCTAGGAACCAGGAGGTCACGGTTCAATTTCGGGTCAGGGCACAGGCCCGGTTACAGGCTCGATCCAGTGTGGGGCGTGCAGGAGGCAGCCGATCAGTGATTCTCTCTCAACATGATGATTTTCGAACATTTTTCCATAGAAATAGTATAAATAAGAAGCAGGTTCCACCGCAGGACACGCACACACACACACACGGACACACGGACACACGGACACAAAAGGTCCGGGTGCTACTATAACCACAGGGCCATAAGGAAGCAGAAGGACGCGCATGAGCACACACAGAAACAGAAGCTAGGAAACATGGCCGCCACACTTCTAGTGAGTCCCCCCTCCGAGAGCCGCCAGCGCTGACCGTTCCCTCTCAGACTTGACGTGAAACGGAGAGGACTGCACATGCCCTCGGGGCCTGACTCCTGGAGAGGACAGCTCCCGGAGACGCTCGTGTCAGGACTCTGGGCCATCTCCCCCTTCCCCGTTTCTCTGGGGGATGCTTCTCGGGACTGAGGACTATGGGGCAGGGGCGGAAGCGGAGTTTCATTTCTCAAGCAGGCCTGTTTCCCGGATCCCGGCGGGGGGCCCGAGGCCCTGGCATCGTGGCTCAGGGGGTCTGGTTGGCATCACTTGGGGAGCCAGCCTCCAGTTGTGCGAGCCTTCGCTACTGTGCCGTGTGCCCACTGACCTACGAACCAGGAGGTCACGGTTCGATTCCCGGTCAGAGCACCTGCCCAGGCCGTGGGCTCCATCAGTGGCAGGAGGCAGCTGGCCCATGATTCTCTCTCATCGTTGTTTCTCTCTCCCTCCCTCCCTCATTTCCTCCCTCCCTCTCCCTTTCTCTCTGAAATTAATAAAAATATTTTTTAAAAAGAGGCTGGATAAACATCGAGCTTTCCAGTCTAGACCAGCAACTGGGGGATGGCAGTGACGGGTGATGGCAGACGCGGCCTCGGCTCAGGGAACTGCTCGTGCCCACAGCGAGCCTGAGCGCTGCTGAGCCACACGGTCCTCTCTGTGGTGCGGCTCCTGCAGGCCCCGTGGCCGTCACGGGTTCCATTTTACAGACCAGGAAAGTGACGCCCAGAGGCTGAGCCACACGCCCAAAGCCGCTCAGCTGCCGGCCCGGGCCCGGGGGGAGCAGGTCTGTGGCTTCAGCGTTTGAGCTCCCCGCCCCCTCCCTGCCCTGCGTCCGAGATGCTCACAAATAACTGAGAGTCCGTGGGTTCTCAGTTGAAAGAAAGTCGCAAATGATGCGTAAGGGGGAGAAGGTGGAGGCCAATAGAAGCCGTGAGACGGTCGGTTACACTCACCGACTTTAACGCAGCGAGAGCCAGCCGGGCAGCTGACCCCTGAGCGGGGGACCCGCACGGCCGCACCCGCTCGCTGAGACAGGGACCCGCAAGGACACCCCAGGACACCTCCCGCACAGCCTCTCTCCCGGCCTCTCGGTCCGCGCCATCACCTGGGCAAGCAGGCCGGTGGCGTCTCCCAGGGAAACCTCCTGGCCCCGAGGGAACACGCGCGTGTATGAAGCATCACAAGGAAGAGCTTGGCACCATCAACACGTCTTCCCGCCAAAACCACACAGAAACCCTCTTTCCACCGAGGGCAGGATCTAGAAGACGGGAAGGCAGCCCCGCCAAGGGCGCTCCAGACCCTCCCACTCACTCGCTCAGCAATAACAACCACTTGAAATGACCCACCTGTCGTGGTGCACAGGCCTGTCAGGCAGGTGAAAGGAACTACGCGGGAGGGAATACACGTCTGTATGCCTCACCTGTCCTTTTCATAATTATTAACAGTCAACGCCCTCAGCCCACACTGCAGAGACAGGGCCCACTCTCCACTCATTGACAAAAAAACTACAAAACGTTAGTCCTGGCCGGGGTGGCTCGGCTGGCTGCCCCGTCACCCTGTGCACCAAAAGGCTGCAGGTTCGATCCCCGGTCAGGGCGCAGGCCCGGGTTTCGGGCTCGATCCCCAGTGTGGGGTGTGCAGGAGGCAGCTGATCAATGATTCTCTCTCATTGATGTTTCTATCTCTCTCTCCCCCTCCCCTCCTCTCTGGAATCAATAAAAATATATTTTTTAAAAAACAGCCAACAAAACTATAAAACGTTATCAGTAAATATAAGCCCAAACCTCCGAGAGTGTATCTTTCTACAGGACATCAGCGTCTCCGTTTACAGAGGATCAACATACTTACCATCCAAAGCAAAAAACCGCAAGATAAAGGCCCAAGAGAGTAGCCACGACATGTCTTATGAAAGAGCTAGTTTTGCTTGAATGAAGGTACGTTCGAAACCAAACGGCTGCGAGCAAGGCAAAGAGCTGGCACACGACGAAGTTGACCTGTGAAGAGAAAGCACAGGTCACCTTAGCGACACGGAGGGCCTCCTCCCCGGACGGCTTCTTTCCGTGCTCGGGGCGAACGCACCACGTGACGTGAGGGCTCCCGTTTCACCACAGACACACCGCTCAGGGCCGTGCCGGGAGGAGAGCCAGCGGCCCAGGGGGATGGGCCCACCGGCTGTGCCCACGCGGCAGGGACAGGGGCGCGGGGTGAAGGCCGGGAGGGCCGCGAAGGAACCTGGAGGGGCCGGGCTCAGGCACAGAACCCGGGCAGCCTCGGGGGGAGGGAGGGACCCTGACCCGGTAACTGGGAGAAGCAAGAGCTTTCAGTTCCCCCAAAACCCCCGGGGTCCAGCTCTGGTAAAGATCCCCGAGGGCCTGGGGCACATCCTCTTGGCTTGGGGTTTGCACCCACCCCTGGCAAGGAGTCGAGGGGACGCCCTGGTCCTAGCCGCCGGGGAACCCCACGTCCCAGCCCTGGGGGTCAGGGCTCAGGAGAAGGGAGGGGGATTTCAGGGGAGGGCGCCCGCCGGCGTGATCTTCCTTCCTCCTGACGCGCCGCGGCCACGGCGTCCCGCACTCGCAGCGAGGACACGCGTGCGTGCCCGTGTCCTCCCTCCCGCAACACTTCCTCCTCCCTAGGAAAGTATTAAGCGAAAGGCTACGAAGAAGACTACGCTTCCGTGGTATCTAAAGACTCGTTTCTCTCCTATGTTCTCATACTTTTTTAAGGAAAATATGGCTAAAAACCTACAAATAAAAGAAAGCCTCCGTCTGGCATGAGGAACTTGCTCACCGCACATCACAGCCAGACACAGGCCGTTTCAGGAGCCGCGATTGGAGCAAGTGGCGGTGTCTGCGGGTGGGAGCTGCCACGGACCCGCGGGGAGAGCTGCCCGGGACAGGCCTGCGTGGCGTCCCTCCGCGAGGGACACAGCTGCCCGCTGCTGCCCGTGCCTGTGAGCCACGGGTCCCGGGAACACGCGAGGCCGGCACGGCCTCCCAGCAGGCGCGGGCCCTGTCCCCGCCCCGAGGGCCCAGCGGGCGTTTTGCTTCAGCAGCAGGTGCCCCTGATCTTCGTGATCACCGCTCCCAGCCGCGCGTTCACTAACTCCCGCCTCATCCCTGTCAGCAAAGCCTACAGAGCATCTTACAGACCATCTTCCGGCAAAGCCTAGGAAACGAGACAGCGCCCGAGTCCCGGGCCAGCCCGTGGCTCAGAGTCCACTGAGAACAGCAAACACGCACACAGCAGCTTCGACTCCATCCCTAACGTGTCTCCTCACGGGCTACACAGACAGAGGGTCAGAGCATCACAGCCCGGCCCGTCAGGGTTCGATTCCTGCTCAGGGCTCCTGCCCGGGTTGCAGGCCCGATCCCCAGTGTGGGGCGTGCAGGAGGCCGCCGATCCATGATTCTCTCCCATCACTGATGTTTCTCTCTCTCCCCCTCTCCCTTCCTCTCTGAAATCAGTAAAGATACATATATATATATATATATATATATATATATATATATATTTTTTTTAAAGAATATCACAAGGAAAAGCATAAGGGGTGAATGTCGCAGATAACATCCTCCCCCCTCTCTCTTTCTCTCTCTCTCTCTCTCTCTCTCTCTCTCCTCTCTCATTACTGAAAGTCTCACTTGGCCGTGCTCCTGTTTCCCAGTCCGCCATGTGCAGTGGGACAGGTGAGCCATTCCTCGCGCTGCAGGACAGACTTCCCCAAAGATGTCACTGCCGACGCTGCCACCCGACTTACCGAAACCTCAGCCAACACACTGCCACCCCCGGGAGAGGGCGCTGCTGGGAGCCGCGGCCGGCTGTCCGGTCAGCCCTGTGGGCCCGGTCAGCCCTGTGGTCCCGGTCAGCCCTGTGGGCCCAGTCAGCCCTGTTGTCCCGGTCAGCCCTGTGGGCCCGGTCAGCCCTGTGGGCCCGGTCAGCCCTGTGGGCCCGGTCAGCCCTGTGGGCCGCCTGCGGGGAGGAGCTTCAGAGGCGAGGATCCATGAACCAACCCCTGTCATTGGGGGGGGGAGGCTGCCCGGAGGGAGGGAGGGAGGGAGGGAGACGCCAGGCGGACCAGCTCAGCTACTTCAGGCCTGAGTTCGCCGGTCCTGGGAGCGGGCTGTCGCTGGGTTTCCCTGGGGGGGCTCTGGCAGGACCCCCAGGAACCTGGGAGGGGTGCCCTTGCGGACAGAGGACGGGTGAAAGGAGCCCTTTCCTGGACCCCTCTCCCTGGTCTTTCTGCACCTGGGCACCCAGTACCTCCCTCAGGAGTGATGCGCGCTGTGTTCAAGTTTCCGAACCAGCCACCGAGCGCCAGGATCAACATGGTAACTACCTCCCGTTTCTGAGTCCGCGCTGCCGGCTCCGGCCCCCGAGGCCACGGCAGGCCCGCCGGGTCCTGAAGGAGAGGACACTTTCACACGGAGCGGCCCACGGCCACAGAGAAACAGCTCTTTCCAGCGCAGCCGCACAGAGGGAGAAGGCCGGCGGGCACCAAGGGCGCAGGCACTGGAGTCAGCGCCGCCCGCCCGCCCGCCCGCCCGACCGCCCGCCCCCCAGGTCAGCGAGCGCATCTCCTCTCCAGCCTGAGCCATAGGTGGGAAGGCCTCCCTCCGACCCCAGAAGGAAGCACTGAGGGTTCGCCGTGGGGGTGGGAGGTCCCAGGCTAACCGCAGCCACACGGCCACGTTATGAAGCCCAGGGCAAGGCAAGCTGCTGGGACACAGGAGTGAGCCACGCCCGGCTGTCCCTCCCCGTCTGTCCCTCCCCGGCTGTCCCTCCCCGTCTGTCCCTCCCCGGCTGTCCCTCCCCGGCTGTCCCTCCCCATCTGTCCCTCCCCGGCTGTCCCTCCCCATCTGTCCCTCCCCGGCTGTCCCTCCCCATCTGTCCCTCCCCGGCTGTCCCTCCCCATCTGTCCCTCCCCATCTGTCCCTCCCCGGCTGTCCCTCCCCATCTGTCCCTCCCCGGCTGTCCCTCCCCATCTGTCCCTCCCCGGCTGTCCCTCCCCATCTGTCCTCCCGGCTGTCCCTCCCCGGCTGTCCCCCATCTCCCTCCCCATCTGTCCCTCCCCATCTGTCCCTCCCCAGCTGTCCCTCCCCATCTGTCCCTCCCCGTCTGTCCCTCCCCGGCTGTCCCTCCCCGGCTGTCCCTCCCCGTCTGTCCCTCCGAGCACGACGGAGGCTGGTCTGCTTCCCATCTCCACGCGCGGCTAACACACTCGACACATGACTGGCAGCGAGCTCATCCCTAAACAGGATAAAGGGGGATAAACATGGGAACAAGGAATAGAAACTCATTTTATCAACAGGATTTGGACCTTGAGGCTGTTCACATGTGTGTGCGTGCGTGTGCGTGTGTGTGTGTGTGTGTGAGACTCAACATCTGTCTCTCCCGTGGTTACAACAGGGAAGCGGAAGGCCTGCAGAGGGAAAGAAAGAGGGACAAACAAACCCTCCAGCCACGCGCCAGGGCGGAGCTAAGCAGCACAAAGGGACGAACGACTGGTCGCACAGGACACAGAGGGCTCTCAAAGTGCCCACACTGTGAGGAAAAGAGACGGGTACCGACCACACATCTCTCTCCCTGTGAACTGCTAGGCACGCAAGCTCGTCTCTGCCGACAAAAAGCAGATCCGAGGTTACCTGGGGAGGCAGGAAGGGAGGGGCAGAATCTAAAATAATCTCACAGATCTGTTTACTTACTGAAACTGCTGCCAAAATTTCATTCATTCATTCATTCATTCATTCATCCGTTTCTACTATGGCTATAGAAGCATTAGCCCGAGTAAGACAGTGTTCCTGTCCTAATGAACTCAAGAGCATACATATCTAGGGGCCCCATATGTGATACTGGGGAAAAGGCACCTGCCCTTAAAAAAAAAAAAAAAAAGAAACCCACAAAAGTCTATTTCGATCCTCCTGTTAATTTCACGGGGCTTCAAGTTATGCAAAAAACGCATTTCCCTGGGGCTGCCCCATTATCATCAGATTTCAGTTCAATACAATATCCACTTACAAACATGGGATTTGCTTTTGAAATTCACTGCCTCCCACCGAAATAGTCCGCTCTTCGCCAAAGATCATGTCGATATAAAACGCATTAATTTTTAGTGATTCACTGGGCCGGAGAGCCCTTGGCCTCTGAAACACTACCCATCAAGTACTTGGAGAGAACACGACCCAGATGAGCCAATGGGGGCATTTAACTTCTCACTTCCTACAGAATTCGTAAAGGTCCCAGGCGCCGCGCCCAGAAGAAAACCACGAGCAACTTTTATGCCTCCGGATGCTGCACCCTGTCAATTACCCTACAGCAAATCCTCCAAAATCATGACTAGAATGCGCATTTCATGAGAACACAGATTTTGATCGATTTTGTTTGTTAAATTCCTTAGCACCTGTTCCTGGTTCAATGCAAATATGTGCCGTGCGATACTTGCAAGCTCACACTCGGTTTTATCTTTCAGGTCAGCACCGTTGCCCTGAACTGAGGTGTAACCTCTCCTTCCTATGGCCTGACGAAACTTTCCCATGAAGCATGAGCATAAGAAAAGGAGCTCTGTGATGGAAATCACAGGTGCTGCCCTCACACTGCACAGGGACATGTGGTGAGTCCATCCCAGGAGGCGGGCGGAGACCCAGTCACGTGGGCTGTGCCGAGGCGCAGGCTCCACGCGGCGGGGATACGGTGGCTCCGTGGAAACTCTGACCAGTTTCCACGCCCGGGTCTGGAGGAAGCCGCAGCCGGAAGGCCAGCTGCACGTCCCACGTCGTCAAATGTTTACACCAGCTCTGAGGTGACTGTCCAATCGCCCCACACTGCTGGTGAAGTCACCACAGTTAAAAGCTCTAACAGTTGTTCAGAAGCCAGTGATTTTCAGTTCAGCGTCCATCTATGAACCAGGGGGTCGCAGTTTGACTCCCGCTCAGGGCACAGGCCCGGGTTGTGGGCTCGATCCTCAGTGTGGGGCGTGCGGGAGGCAGCCCATCGGTGG